AGCGGGGTTCGCAGGGGACACGTGGGAGCGAGGGTCCGACAGGGAGGGCAGCGGGGTACTGGGCGGGCAGGGGAGTACGGTGAGGGCAGGGGAGTCGCGGGCATTGCAGATGGGCCGTGGGGACAAGGCGGGGATTGCAGGGGGCTGGTGGGACCCGGGAGGCGCGGAATTGCCACCGTCCACCCCCGCCATCTCTTCCAGGATGGAAGGATACGGCTACTACACGCTGCCCATGGGCACCGAGTACCGGGGCTCGCTGTGGGACGGCATGTTCCACGGGCACGGCGAGCTGCGGCGCCCCACCGGCGGCGCGTACCGGGCGCTCTGGGAGCGCGGGCTGCCCACGCAGGTACGGCCGGGGGGCTGCGCCCCGAGGGGTGAAACGCGCGGAGTTCCGAGCCAAGGCCGGGTTTGACCCCTCGGGTGCGTGGGGGAGGCTGCTGGCACCGCAGACGGGATTCCCGACCAAAGGCGGTGGAGCCGCGCTGGCCCTGCTGCAGCTCTGCCGGCGCGACCTGGCCTTGGTTCCGTCCATCCATCATGTTTATTAACTCTGCACTCAAACGCGTTTTGCAGGGGAAATACACTTTTACAGATGGTCTCGAATTCGAGTTGGAAAAATGGCTTTACTGCGACGGCTACGACAGAAGATTCTATACAGAAATCACCTCTGGTTTTAAACCACCAGGTACTAAATTGCGTTTGCGATCCTGAGAGTCTGGAAGGAATTAAACTAACAACTTTGCTTAAGAAAGATTAATTCAGCTACATGAGTAACATGGAGCAGAAATGCTCTGGCTAATTTCATGCAAGCCTGAGATGCTGCCAGGAGAATGTGGACAGCACCTTCCACCAGCACAGCCTGGGGTGCAGCTCTGCACCCACCGGGGTCTCCTGGGGCAGGACAGACCTTCATCATCGGCAGCTTTTGACATCCTCATTAACCCCTTCATACCATTCACCCTCCCTGCCTCAGCAGGGTGCTTTTGATACAGACAAGTCCAGCAAAAGCAATTAGTTTGCATCCAGGACACCGAATGAGGCTTCAAGCATCTGCCCCACGTAGCTTTTTAGGAGACACCAAAACAGATGTTTGTGTTCAGTCTGTGTTTTGCTAAAGACTTCTAGAATGTTATTTATTTTAGTCAAAAGGTGGGTTTATAAAGGAAAAAAGTGAGTAAAGTCTGTAATTTAATACACACAATACATAGAATATTTTAGTGATGACATGGAGTTGTGTGAAGCCAGCGATTCTCTCCTGGCCCCATTTTGGATTTTAGGGTTGGACTTGTAATGTTAACTTGGTGGGCTGAATCACAGGGCTGTGAATGAGGAAATCAAAGTGATTGTTTTTTATCACACAATCTTTGTGTGTGCATATTTTCATTTTCCCCATCTGCACAATTGATGAAATGTTTTACAAAATTTATTGTGAGGTAACTCTGTTATTTTTATAGCAAACACCATGGAGATGTATATTAGTTATCTTGATCAAAGGCATAAATTAAAAAAAAAATTCAAACCTTGTTTTTCCCCTTCAGGCATTGCTCAGCTTACAAATCTGGATCCTCCCAAAATAATCCCAAAAGGTTGTTATGACTGTGGTGATGGATTCTATAACCCCAAAACCAGAATAGTTGTTGACTACAAACGCAAGTTTCTGAGAAATGCAGGTATGATTTCACTTCTTCTGCCAGGTAAACTAAGAAGGGTTTATTATATCTTCTAGGCTGCCTGATTAAAGCCAAAATATAAACAACTCCATGACTTGGTTCTATTATCACTGAGCTAAAATATCTTTAACTTATTTATTTTATCAGTGATTTATGTATCCCCAGAGCGGTACAAATCATATTTTGCAAAATTACAATGAAGTATTCCCAAGCATATATGAATAAATACGTTTTATTGCCATTTGGTATGTTAATCTCAGAAAAATCTTCAGTCTCTCCTGTTATGATCTCAAGCAAGGGAGTGGTTGTGAGGGGCACATCACTGATCCTGAAAGCTGAAAAGCTCCATGTTGTCAAGCAGCACAGTGCTTAAGCATGTGCTTATCTCTACATGCTAGAATTATTAAAATGAGTCTGGGTCTTACCTTTCTGAAAGAAAACCTTCACCTTGGAGAGCTGTGTTGGGAGTAGAGTCTGGCAAATACACGGATAGGTCCTCAAATTAATAAACCTTGGGGAAAATGAGTTCTTACCAAGCCAAAAGAGAAACTTTTCAAATTAAAAGCCACAGAAGATCCCCAAACAATTGACACTGGGATAACTAAAAAAATGTAATCTGACCTGAAAAACACCCTACTTTGTGTTCTGGCTATTTAATCTTTGTGTTTATCACCTTTTCAGTGCAGAGAGTTTTAAAATGAAACTGATTTCTGAAAACAGCCACCCACCATGCTTTTTCCTTTTTTTTTTTTTCCCTCAAATGTCCAAATTGCAAAACCTCTTTTTTTTTTCTAGAAAACAGAACATTTCATTTTCAGTGTGCTACAGTTTAACAGTTTTGTTGCTTGGAAACTCCATTTTTCAGTAAATTTACTATTTGTTGTAAAAAAATTCTGCTCCACTCTACTTTCAAGAGCTTTTGTGAGTGTGCACTGTGATACTGGAGGAGGGAAGTGGGGAGGGGTTAAATGAATTGGAGATACCATCTGCTATAAAATATACCCTGTGATACATGGCCTGTTTTATAAACGTTGAATAAAAACTGATCTAGATTATTACAAATGGCATTGATCCAAAATACTGGAATGCAGTGGGCCTACTGATGAGGAAGATAAGCAACATGCTTTCCAAAAACACAGGAACCTACACAGATTAGTACAGGAGGGAACGCCTTGGAATTCAATTTATTGTTTTTTAATCTGTTCTTTGAACTCATTGTCCTTTATGACATTTATCTCGAGCCCTACAAATTATACCAATCAATACGGGCCCGGCGGCGCAGCGTGCGGCCTGCCAGAGCGCTGGAGATGGGCTTGGTGTGGCCCTTCCAGCCGGGCCTGCACACAAAGTTCAGCTTGTTGATGTGAGGGTGAAGAAGGAATGTGTCATGTAGGCCAGACCCTTCCTCTCGAGAA